TATATCACTTGCCTTGGGTGTAGCTTGCCTTGTTTATATTCTTGTTTTATTCTAGGGAATTATGCAAAAGAGTATGGCTTGCTAAGATTTATTTTGAAAAGATAACATGGCCAGAAAAGAATGTATTTTTATTTCTTTATGTTTTATATTAAACATAAACAATTTCAATAAATTTCACTTCACAGAAAAACAAGTCTTAACAGCAACAGAAATTTAAAAATACAGAATAATACTGGATAAATATGCTGCAATTTTGGATCAACAGAGGATACAAATCTGAAAAATACTGGCAACTTGATGTTACAATTAATACTCTATAGTTTTTCAATTGTGGAAATCAAAAGGAAAGGTAATTTTTCTAAAACATTGCTGTACCAAGAAAAGGGGTTTCCCTGAGAAACGCTGGAAGGGAATTATAAGAGATAACACATACATTATCGTTGCCATGAGGATATTTCCAGAAATGTCTTCCTCCATGGCAAACCATTTTCTCCCTGATATTAATGTGAAATATCATTCACCACATTTATCAAGATCATCACTGTGAGTCTCTTCTCCCCCCCACCCCAGTTCCCAACAGACATGGGGAAAGTTACTTTTCTGCACATGGCCATGTGGATTCTGGAAGCTGTAGTCCAAAAAGCAACTTTTCCTGTTTGTGAATCCTGATGGCCACTAGGAAGAGTGTGGCTGGCATATTTTAGCTAAACAAAAGTTGCATATCAGTTTCAGGAATTGTTGATGTCCACATTTGATAGATATGGGATACATTATCTATGTGTCAGAGGTGGGGAACCTTGTGGCTTTCCATAAATTGCTGAACTGTGAGAAATGTTTTGTGGCTGGTGTCCCTGTCACACAGATGTGACATATCTAGTGGTACCGTGAGAGAATTGTCAGCCTGTCAGAACTAGGGAACTAGGTGCAGAGAGAGAGAGAGAGAGAGAGAGAGAGAGAGAGAGAGAGAACCAAGGGTGGTGACAGGATAGGGATGGGGATGACTCAAAGGGAAGGGTCAAAGGATGACTTATTTCCTCCTGGCCCTAAACTGTACAGAGATGGGTATTCCTTGCCCTAAGGTCTGATAGGAAGCCCCCACCCAGCAAAGAGAAGGGGGGAAATCTCAGTGCCAGTTGAAGCTTAACAGCTTGAAGCAGAAACGAAATTATTTGGGCCTTTGTTAGAAAGACTGTAGCCAGTTTGCATCACTGAACCAGAATGGATACTCTGGAGTTCTCTTTTATGGATGTGGTCTTATTAGCAAGCAACTACTCTTCCTTTACTGGGTTTACAGATTCTTTCTAATTCCCAGATGAAGTTCTTAAATAAGTTTCAGTTCAGCAGTATATTGAGAGTGTATTCGCGAAGGCTTTCACGGCCGGGATCTAATGGTTGTTGTGGTTTGCTGTCCTCTGAAGATGCCGGCCACAGAGACTGGTGAAACGTTAGGAAGAACCACTTTCAGAACACGGCCAAGAAGCCCGAAAAACCCACAACAACCTATATTGAGAGTGTTGGTTAAAGTTAAAGGTTCCCCTTGACATTTAGTCCAGTTGTGTTTGACACTAAGGAGCTGTGCTCATCCCTGTTTCCAAGCCGTAGAGCCAGCGTTTGTCCGTAGACTGTTTCTGTGGTTACGTGGTCATCACAACTAGACATGGAACACTGTTACCTTCCCACCATGGTGGTACCTAGTTATCTACTCGCATTTGCATGATTTTGAACTAGTTTGTCAGGAGCTGGGACAAGAGACGGGAGCTCACTCTGTTGCGTGGATTCGATCTTATGACAGCTGGTCTTCCGACCTTGCAGCACAGAGGCTTCTGAAGTTTAACCAGCAGCGCCACCACATCCGTAAGAGTGTTGGTTAGGACTTGAGAATTATGAGATATCTGGAGAAAAGGTCCCTCTTGATACTACCTCCTTCCCCATCTTTGGGAGACTTTTTGGATTGAAAAAAAATAGAAAAAAAAGTAGCGTTTCCAAAGGCTGCTCCTTCCCACCGCTCCCTCCAGCTGAAAGATTTGATGTGAAACAGTAAGTGGAACTTTGCAAGAATGGAATTTGTCAGTGTGTCATATCAGGCCAGCCCTATGTAACTTGTGACCCACCAGACAGACTGCTTCCCAAAGGCAAACGTCTTCTGCTGGCTAGAATTAAGTGCCGGGTTCAGCTGAGTCCTACCTTATGTGAAGGGGTCTCCAGATTTGAGGAGGACCACACACAACAGAAAGAGCTCAAGATTGTCAAAATAACATAGACAGGTGGGAAACATATTACAGTCCAGTACAAAGTCTTAAAAGATTACATCCATTTTGCAAGCTTAATTCTTACCAGTTACCTGTTCTGCAATTGCACATGTTTTGGACTATTGCACATGCTTTACAGAAATACTCAAAACTGTATCCATGGCTACTGCAAACAAGCCATTTATCCTGGCAAAGTTCAGCTTTTTCCAGCAATGTAACTGTTTTCTTATATCATCCT